AAAATAAAATTAAATTAAATAAAATTAAATTTTACAAAGTTCTGGACGACTGGCTGTCAATTTCAGATGCAAAATAAAATTAAATTAAATTAAATTAAATTTTACAAAGTTCTAGATTTGAACCCAGCATGCTAAAGAATATGAAAAATGTCCCACTAGACTAACACATCACACGTTTTAAGTTAAAAAGTACTTTGTTTTTCATTTGGCCATGTCTTATCTCACATTTGGCACCAAGAAATCCATCACTTCTTAAATAACATACCCAAAATAAAATAGTTCCTGTTCACGAGTCCATCTGAATCTACATATAAGACTCAAACTCCAAAAGACTTCAGATTTGAAGTGTTTTTGCAGTGCCTATTATCCTCAAATCTCTCTGATTCCAATTCCAGTTGAGCCAAAACATACCTTTTTAAACATCTGAGAACAAAAAAATGCCCCAAGTTTGGCCTTTTCCTCCAAGTGCTTGGCTTGTACTGCATAATGGCAGTTTAATCAAATAGCTGAGACAGCAAACTGGTGGCTGAAGTGATCAGCTGAAATCTAGAGATCTGTAGCCTAACCGCAGCTGTCAGGAACCTTCACAATGGTTTTCACCATTCTCATGAACTCTACAGCAGGTGTGGCGTTGATCTCAGGTGTCGTGGCTTTCAGTCTTTACTCTCTCTGCGGTCACGTCGAAAGAAGGAGAAGAAGCTAGAGCTTTGAGGAGGACCCATCAGCATACGGGCCTGATTCTCATGCATGATTTGAATCTGTCGGAAAGATTGAAAACAAATATGATGTGAAAATGTTTACGTTATATGATATAAATTCATAAAGACAATCGGATGAGAGAAGATATGACAGATAAATGTTATATGAACTGGCATAATACACAAACAGAGGCACATAACTTGCCAAAGAGTCTCTCCAAGACAAAAACAGGCAGTGAACTAATGGACTAGAATGTGAAGTGAAAGTGTCATTAAAATCTTGTTTATTAACTTTGTTCCTGTCACATTTAATTGGGTGCTGAATTCGTATTTGTGGGTCAATTATAATTCCACATCAAAGGTGATGGTAAATATCAAGCTCTTCTCTTTGAATTCACCCATTTGCTTTGTTCATGAAAGTATTCAGAAGGTAAATGGTACTGAACACCTCAAAAAGCATTTAAGTTTAATTAAGTTGAGTCAACATGACATTTTTTTAACATATGGGGTGAAATCGAGTGTTCATATATAATGCAAATTTATTGGAATCATGCCCTTTTTAGTGCCTCTCTAAGATAAAATTAGGTGCTTATTTTTATGAATAATAAACTTGATGATTCTCTGTGGAATAAAATGAATCTTTATTGCTAAATAATTCAATGCAAAATTAAAAAAGAAAAAGATTTTTTGGAATATTATAAAAAAAAAAATTCAAAAATTTTATTTAGGAAAAAAACTGTATTTAGTGATATTATTTGGTAAATAAATGGTTTTAGAAAAAAGCAATAATTTCAAGCCATTTTTTCATTTATTTCCACATTGACTGCATGAAATATATAACAAACAAATGCAATGCCATTAATTTACACACAAACCCTCAACAAACAAACACAGATACAATGCAGCGCCACCTAAAAATGGATTAGCATAATCACTTTTGCTGAGGATAAGCTGGAACACCTGAATATTGACTGTAGTGTCTCAAAAGCATTCCTTACGTTTACTGACACTAATTAAGCCTCAAGGAAGCCATAGGTTGCCATGGAGATCACCTGCTATGATAACAGTTTTGTTGGTGTCTACCTTTAACCAGAGTTTTAATCTACAGGTACAAGTGCTCCTTCCAATTAATTGTGTTGTCATGCTTTTTGGATTCCAGGCATCGGCAAAATGAAGTATATGTAAATGAACACTGCACTTCAGAAAAGATGCTTTCAGAGAAGGGAAACTTTAATTAAAAGCAAACAAAGCTTCGAATCTTGCAAATGAGGTGGTTGTTTCGGGCTGGAGCATATTTTCAACTTTCTTGTAAAACGCTGCTGTGATTTTTACACAAGATATCAGGAGAATCTAAGACTGACCAACTAAAGCCGGTTTAGAAGGAAACGCAAAGTGAGAAAAATGCTCTTAAAATATTCCTACGCTTAAACATTCATAAAAAGATTAACACATGCAATATAACGGACATTTAAGCATATAAAAATATTAAATGTGCATGCCATACTTACAGTGCATGGGCTCTGCATCCATGGCTCACCATCTATTTGCATAGGAAGGGCTTTACTGGTTCTGTCAATGGAACATAGTTATATAATACTGAAACATGAATAGTATGTTAAAGTAAGTAAAACATTTTCTTTTTGTTTATATACAGTACAGTACATCTTTAAACATCAAGATATGAAGTTTAAAAAAAAAATTCTGCACCATTTTTAATATTTTCCTATCATAAGTCTTACAATGTGGCAAATGAACTTTGAATGTAGTCAAAATACTGTATAAATATTCTATGTAGTCTCTAAACATAATACACTACTATTCAAAAGTTTGGAGTTGGTACAATACAAGCTTGATTTGGAATCTTCACAGTCTGCCTTCCGCTCTAAAAAAGCATAAATTGTCACTGTTGGAGAAAAGGAGGGGAGAAAAAAAACACCAACAACCCACAAACAAAACACCTATTAATTAGAATGCGACACTGATGCAAAGCAATCTTGTGTTCCTCCATATTTATTAATTTCTTTTTTGTTTTGAAGTTATGAGCATTGATTTTTCCTCGGTCGGAGGTCCAGTGTCGCGCTGGGACCATCTGTTCAGTAACAGCTCCTATGAGTCTTCCTCTCCTCCTCAAACACACACACACACACACACACACACACACACAGTGTCATTCAGTCCACAGACAGGCAACAGTCAAACCACACAAATAAACAGAAGTGAGTGCTAACAAAGCTCTGACCACTAGCGCAAGGTCCAGTCAGGTCTGTTGCACTCTAATCATTTCTATTCACGTTTTAGCCACTTTTGAAATCTTAGTGAGATGGAAAAAGAGAAATGTTGCGAGCCAATTGCGAGCCAAGAACTCTTGCCACTAACATAAGCACTATGGCTTAATGTGCATATGTATCATGTATCTTACATCTACTCCTATTCTATTCTATTCTATTCTATTCTATTCTATTCTGCTCCTTACATTTACTAAATTGTATATTATTGTTCTATTCTAATCCTATATTCTAATGCTAATATTTAATATATCTTATTTTATTCTATTCCTTACATTTATTCTATTCAATTTCTATTATTTTTATATCTTATTCTATTCCTTGCATTTGTTCTATTCTGTACCTTGCACTCATTCCATTCTATTCTATAGCTTGCATATTTTATAACAATTTATTTCTTACATCTAACCTATTTTCTCACATTTATTTAACACTGGATTACGCATTTTATATCTTTTTCTATTTCTTACATTTTTTTTTCTATTCTGTATCTTACATTTAGTATATTCTGTACCATCCTACATATTTTATATATTTTTTCTATTTCTTACATTTATTCTATTCTATGTTATACATTCATTAGTATATTCTTTACCGTATCTTTCATATTTTTCATAACTTATTTTCATATTTTATTATATTTTTAACATTTACTCTAGTTTGTATCTTACAATTATTTCATTCTATTCCATAGCTTACATATTTTTTTTTATCTTAATCTGTTCCTAAGTCCTGTCAACATATTCTCCAGCGTCTCCTCGTCCCTCGTGTGTATGCAACGTGACACCTACTCAGACAGTATGCGCTTTTGGACACACAACTGGTGAAACATCTACTAGCCAACAAAAAATTAGGCTATAATTGTATTCTAATAAAAAAGTACAATTTCAATCAAATTAAATTAAATAATAAAAAATGTTAAGTAAATCATTAAAAAATTAGCAACGTTAAAATTAAAACTTATATTTGTCTAAAATAATATTAATACAAATAAATTTACATGGCTTTGCCAGTGAAGAAAGATCCTTTTGTGCACATAAAGGTGAAGTTACAAAATATACCAGCAGGGGTTAACTGGCCAAACCTTAACCCCTTGGTTCTAAAAATATACTAAAAAATAAAGAGTGAAGTTCCACACTACTAGAATCACCAAACATAATTTCAGAAATAATGATGTTTTCAAAGATGTTTTCCTGAAGACTCCAATCAAACTGCTTTAAAACAAATAGCCTCACCCCAAGCTGACACGATTGGTTGATGTCCACTGCTTAAACAAACAGATATTTGTTAAACTTTTTTGAAAAATTTCGAATTTTTTTACACTTTTAACCTCCACATCCATTCCTAAAAGTCTCTGCATGTAAAGCTCGGATAAGAAAAAAAAAAATTTTAACACCAAAATGTCAAATCACCTTCACTTTTGAACACAAACCTCTCTTTCTTTTGCACATGCACACACATACACAAGCCGTATGCACCTGATAATGGTGTTTTCTTGTCACCTGTTTTTTTTTTTTT